CAGCAACCTCAAACTCCCGGCTCAAGTGATCCTACTGCCTCAGCCTCCCGAGTAGCTGGGATTACAGGCATGTGCCACCATGCCCGGCTAATTTTTTCTATATATATATTTTTAGTTGTCCAGCTAATTTCTTTCTATTTTTAGCAGAGATGGGGGTCTCGCTCATGCTCAGGCTGGTCTCGAACTCCTGATTTTGAGTGATCCACCTGCCTCAGCCTCCCAGAGTGCTAGGATTACAGGCTTGAGCCACCCTGCCCGGCCCTGTTTACATATTTAAACCAAAAGTTGAACTTTTATGCAAGAGTTAGGCAAGTAAAAAAGGGAAGAGAGAGAAAGAACAGGTTGTACAAAGACCCTAAGGCAGGAAAGAGATTGCCATGTTTGAGGAAGTGAAAGAAGGCCTAATGCAGTTGGAAAGAGGTTGGGAAGGGATCCGGGGTGAGGATGGTGAGGGTGGAGTGCCAGCGAAGGGAGGAGTGGTTCACACCCTACAGTGGACCTTGTAGGTCAAAGAAGTTCACATTTTATTCTACATGAAATGGGAAGCAATTGCATCAGGAGCCATGCTCCAGGTCACACGTAGTAACACTCTGGCTGCTGTGTGAGAATGGGTTAGAGGGAGTCAAGGGTAAAAGTGAAGAAATCAGTTGGGGGCTAATGCAGTAATCCCAAGTAAGAGATGGAGGCGGCGGCTTGGATTTTAGCAGCAGTGGAGATGGAGAGATGGAAGGATTTGAAAAGGACTTGGTATTGAGTTGGCTATGGGTGGCGAAGGATGTCCCCTCTTGATGGTCTATATTTTCTTAGTGAGATAGGAGATAAGGGGACCATGAGTGGGGAGGACAAGCAAGGATGGGGGTTTTGAGGATGGGGGAGAGATGCAAGATAGTCTTTGTGGAAAGTCAAGTCAGAGCTGCATACTAGTAGGCTGTTACCTATGTGCAGTTGCGATCATAGGTTGGCTCTTAAGGAGTGAGTAGGATCAGAGGAGGGAAGGGCTGACTCCAGCATGAACAGGGCCCAGGCCCAGAATCATCATGTGTTGAGGATCAGTAAGCCTTCCAGAACTTCTCAAGACTTGCTCCAGTCCCTTTCTCTCCCCTGTCTTGTGCTTCTCCTCTTTCACTGGCTCCCTTTTTCCCCTTACCCTATAAACATGTGCAAGCCTTTCCTGGTGACTCAGTATTTCCTCCCAAGTTGGTGTCCAAATTCTCTAATCTCTATACCCAAAACATCTGTAGCAGAAAACTTTTTGAAATATTCAATTGCTCTTTTCTTTTTCTTATGATTTTTCCTTGTCTGGCTGTGTGTTGCCTTACAGTGGGGACTTTGGCTGCATCTTAAGTTTTGAGGCTTTTTGTGGTCTTTTAAAGGCCTGAGTGTATTGACAGGTTTATGTTGGGTAGCTTGAAGGTATACACTGCAGCCAGAAGCCTGGGGGATCCCTTAAGATTTTAAATAGGTATGTGCTTTAGGGAGTTCACTCTGGAGGCTGAGTAGAAGATGTATTTGTCTGAAGGAGACTGTTAGGAAGCTGCTGCAACAGTTCAGGCTAGAAAGTATGGAGGCCAGTGAGAAAGGTGACAGGAATTTGTCTTATTAAGGAGGTAAAATAGATAAGACTTGGTGATTGGGTAAGGCAGAGGGTTGAATTAAGAATGACTCACTCATTCCCAGCTTTAATTCTGATGACTGTATAGATGGTGGTGCCAACAGCTGAGGGAAAGGCCGCTATGAAGGCAGAGGATGAGTTCAGTTTTGGATATACCAAGTGTGGGGTGTCCCTGTGATTGCTAGCTAGAGCTGCTTGTCAGGCAGTTGGATATTTGGTTCTTAATTCTGTGGAAGACGTCTGGGCTGGAGATTGCAGATTTGGAAGTTGAAACCATGAGGATGGCAGCAATTCCCCAAGAGTGAGTGGAGTGAAAAGAGCCGTGTTGGCATAGGGTGGAGTCCTGCATTTAAGGTGCAGATTCACAATTGGTGGCACGTAAGGACGCCACCAAAGGAAGCAGAGGCGTTTACTGAGCTGTGATAATTGGGAGAGTGCATGCTTCTGGAAATCAAGGTAGTAGAGAGCTTCCAGAAAGTGAGAGCCATCCAAGATGTCACATGTAGCAGAGAGATTCAGAGAGATAAGGCCGGAGGAATACCTGCCAGGTTTGGCAAAATGAAGGTCATGGGTTGCCTGAACAGGGTGAAGAAGGCTGTGAGCGGGAGGAGAAGCAGTCAGACTGCCAAGTTTTGAGGAATGGGGAAGTGGAGGCAGCAGGGGAGGCCACTGTTAGAGATATGCAGAGGAGGGAGAGAAACACTTGGAAGCTAACTGGAGAGGACACTTCGAGTGGAGGGTTGGCTTGATAGTTTTGTTTTTAGGACTTGGAGAGACTTGAGCTTATTTAAAGGCTGAGAGGAAACAGTAAACGGCAAGAGTCAAGGAGGCGGGGAGAGGTGGGGGAGGTTTTTAGGGCCCAACCCCACTCAGATGCCTTTCTTACAGTTTACCCAACACTTCCACACCCCTTATCTCATTTAGTCATTCAACACCTTGAGGTTGGAAACAAACGGTGAGGCTTGAAACAAAACTGTGAGCACAGGGGTTGCCAAGACACAGCTGTGAACTCATGCCGTCTAGCGCGCTGTCCATGCCAAGCACCGCGCAGAGAAATGCCACGAAGCTGTTCAGCTCCATACAGCCTAGGGGACCGGGAGGCGTGCTCCTTGCTCCTGATGAGGCGCTATCAGTGCCGTGGACTCGAGGCAGTGTGCTGTCCCAGATGAGGTGTAATCATGTGCCGTGGACCAGGAGTGGCGGTCCCGGATAAATGTCCGAACGTGAATGCTCCCTGCCCCCGGTGAGGTGTCAAGTGTGGTGGACAGAGGCCGCGCGCATGCTGTCCCCTGCGCTAAGACGCTTAAGCAGCTAAGAGTACTGTTAGGGCAAGGCGAAATAACAACAGCGGTGGCGGGGCATCAGGGCACGGGCCAGGTGGACCCCGGGCCGGAAGGGGGCCGGAACCCAGGGCAGCAGGTGGCTGAGCTCGTCTCGTCCCGCGCGCTTCGCCAAGGGGACGCCGCGAAAACCAAAATCGCGATTGGGATATCCGGCTGGGGCCCGATCCCGACATAAATCTAGTGCTGAGGGAAGTATTTAATTTGCATGCAGCACGGTAGGAAGAAACTCCTTCCCGCCGGAGGCGATCGGTAGGCGGATGGGAGCTTTCTCCTGTGTGCTCCTTCCTGTTCTCCGCCCGAGGCTGGCGTCCAGAGCCGGTTGTGAAATGAGAAATATAGTTTTTTGTTTGTTTGGGCGGGGGATAAGGTATTACAGAGACCTGGATTGGGAGCTAGGATCGGGTTTCCTCTCCACCTTTCTAGCACAAGCTTCCTCCACGACCGCAATTCTGGGCAAGTCTAATGTGGTCACTGGGCCTCAGTCTCCCTGAGCATAAAATGGGGATTTGGACTATGATCTTGCCTTGCATGGTCAGGACAGCAAAACCCACCTCCTCCTGCCAAGAAAAGCGGCCTTCCATCACAGTCCCCCCCTCGTCAGCCAGCTCTTTTGCAATGCTTTCCCCTACGGTTTCTTTTCTTTGCTTGCTCCCCGAACTGAAGACGGGGAGGTGGGCGTGGCCCGGATTTAGCCACACCCACCACTCGGTCCCGCCCCTGACGTCCCCTCCACGCCCCTCCGCCCTCGGCACTGGGATGAGTCAATCACGTGACCTCACATCCGGCGCGGGAGTCCGGAGCTCGCGGCGCGCGCTCCCAGTCTGCCCGCCGGCTCTTCCCACAGCGTGATCCAGGCGCCGCCGCCGAGGGGAGGGGGGTTCGCTACGTCGCAGGCTGCGGGAGGCCGTTTCGGAGTGCACACCGCCCCCCTCCCCTGACCGCCTCCTCCTGCCGCCCGCCCTTGTTCTCGCCCTGCCCGGCTGCACGCCGCCGCCGCGGGCGCCGAGGAGCAGAGCGTGGACGCCCCTGCGCCGGCCGGGCCCGGGCCCCGCCGCGGCGCCTCCTTCCCAGAGCGACCAGCACTGCGCGGCGGCGGCGGCGGCGCCTCGAGCCCGAGCGACGCGCGGCCGCCGGCGCCGGCGGAGGGCGATGGGGCTGGGCTGAGGCGAGGCGAGGCGGCGGCGGCGGCGACAGCGGCGGCCCGGCCCCCTGCGGCCCCTTGGCTGCCCCGGCTGGGAGGCCGCCGAGGAGACGGCGCGGCGGCCGCCGGTGAGTGGCCCCAGCGAGCGGGGTTGGGGCGGTGGGTGGTGGTGATGGAGGAGATTAGAGGAGGCGAATGGTATCGTCCGGGGTGGTGGGTACCAGGTGAGTTTACGGTCTGCCTGCTCGGGCCGGAATTGGGCATCACTTCTCAGGGAAGGTGTGTGTGCTGGGGAGAGCTAAGACCCGGGAAATTCTGGGACAGGTGAGGCGAGGAGGAGGGATCCACGTTGTAGGTGTGAAGGCCTGGTGTGGACACGCTGCCTGCGGGGAGGGCGAGCGTGTGAGGGGGCCGAGGAACGAGGTGGTAGTCGAGCCCATTTAGAAAGTTAGGGAGATGGTGTGGTCTTGTGGTAGGGCTGTTGGCAGGGCGCTTGATGGGTTTGTGCGGGATCCTAGTTCGTCCTTAGCCACGGAGTGGTAGAGCTCCTTGCCAGTCTCCGTATTTTACAGGTAAAATAAGTGAGTCTGGAAGAAAAGTGATTTCTGACTTGCTTAAGGCGTCTCACTCGGACACTGTGTCCGTGAGGACTAGAAAAACCCAGGGCCCTTTCCGTTACTACTTTCGTGGCCACTCTCTATGGCCTTTTCTTCTCCCCATTCTCTTCACAAAGTCAGGTTCTGGTGGAAGTATGACCTCTGTTTTGTTTTGTTTTTTTTGGGGGGAAGTGGTTAGGTAAGCATGAGGGAAAGGGAATTGAGTTGGAGATTGACAGTAACTGAGTTCAGGGCTTCCCAATTTGTAAAGCTTTTGTGACAGGTGTTTATTGTTTCCTCTTCTCATAGATCTGACAGAAACATCCTAGGATCTTGGTGTTTGGACATAGGAGGTATGAATCACTCACATAATTAGCTACTTTTAATCATCAGTGTCTTACAGCTATATTTAGTGGTTCTGTTAGCGCAAAATGAATGGGAATGGAGTCGTAAACCTAGAAACAGACCTGTGTTCCTCTAAACATGATTCTGAACTAGATAAGTAGAAGGTATTGGAGTATGTAATGGCTATTTTACATCCATGAGGCACGAAGTTAGAATTTTAAAAATCTAAGAAATGCAGGGAGTTTAAAGATTATTGCAAAATAGTTTTCTAAAGGTTTTGTTGCTAAAATGAAGATGTTTTGATTTGATTCTTTTGAAGGGTGAGTAGATAGTTAAAAGTGCTGTTTGGTTAGAACTTAGCCTCTTTACCAAAGCACACATATTAATTTTGTTTCACCGGAGTATATGTGGCATTCTTTTCTCCAGAGGATTGTTGCTTTGCCAAATAGGCTTATAGTTGCTAGCATAGATGTGTGTGGGCATCCCATCCTAATTTATAACCCCCTTTTAAGGTGAATCAGTTCCTGGAAGTTGTTTGAAATAGTAAATCTGTTATTAATGATTGTATAACTTTTGCTACAGTCTTTGTTTTTGCATTATACACAGTTAGATCGGGCTGAAGGTAAAATAGTTAAGTGAGATTTCTGAACATTGTTAGAACAACAGTGCCTGTTTTTGGTCAGGGGATTGGGTAAGAAAAGTGACACTGGTTACTTCAACTTATAAGGGGTACAGTTATAATTAAATAAAAAATATTAAGTAACAGTTTATTTTGAAAATAAAATTGACTAGCTTCCAGATGGTATAGTGTTAAATTATGTTGTAGGAAGGCCAATT